TGTGAGGATTAAACAAAAACAAACAAGAAAAAAACCAAACAAACAAATAGGAAATTACTGCAGTTTGTTGAAAGCTTGGCCCAACTGCCATTGTATCTACACTGATTTTACCATAGTGTCAAAGCTTATAATTCACAACTGGTGAATTTAACATGTGTTTCAGTTATATGTGTGTTGGCTGATAGGAGAAGCTAAAGAGGCAGAGCAGTATTCTCGATACACCAGATTTTCATTGTAACCCAATATAATTTGAGGAATATAAACTACTTCAAGAGAAGGCATAGCCCTGGTCGGTGTGGCTCAATTGTCATCCTCTGCATCAGAGGGATGTTGGTTTGATTCCTGGTCAGGGAACATGCCCGGGTTTGGGGCTCGATGTCTGGTAAGGGACGTGCAGGAGGCAGCCAGTCGATGTTTCTCTCTCATTGATGCTTCTCTCTCTCTCTCCGATCAATAAAAACATATTTAAAAAAAAAAAAAAAAAAAAAAGGCATAAGCCCAGCCAGTGTGGCTCAGTGCTTGATCTTCAACCTATATACCAGGAGGTTGTCAGATCATTTCCCGATCAGGGCACATGCCCAGGTTGTGGGCTCAATCCCCAGTGGGGGGCATGCAGGAGACAGCCAATCAATGTTCTCTCTCATTGATGTTTCTTTTTATCCTCACCTCAATACATTTTTTGCATTTATCTTCAGATAGAGCGGGAGGGAGAGAAGGGGGAAGAGAGAGAGAGAAACATTGATGTGAGAGAGACACATCGACTGGTTGCCACCCACACAACCCCAACCAGGGCTGGGAACAAACTGCAACCAAGGTACATGCCCTTAGTGGGAATTAAACCCCGGACTCTCCGGTCCACAGGTCGGTACTCTAACCACTGAGCCAAATTGACCAGGGCTCTCGTTGACGTTTCAATCTCTCTCTGAAATCAACAAATATATATATGTAAAAGCATAAAATTATAACTTAAAAAAAAATGTTTTTGTTGATTTTTTAGAGAGGAAGGAAGAGAGAAATATCGATGGGATATCTCCTGCACGCCCCTACTGGGGATCGAGCCCAAAACATGTGCCCTGACCGGGGATGGAACTGGGACTGCTCAGTCTATTGGATGACACTCAGTCCATTGAGTCACACCAGCTGGGCTAAAATGATAACTTAAAGAAACGAATTAGGAAATAACTAAACCTTATATCTGATTTTTTACATTTTTACACATTTACTTTGCAGAGCATGGCTGCATTAGTTTCTTGGGGCTTTTGTAACAGTTTACCACAAATCAAGTGGTTTAAAACGACAGAGATTTATTCTCTCACATTTCAGGAGGCCAGAAGTGTAAAATCAAGGTGTTGGAAGGGTTGGTTCCTTTTGGAGGCCCTGAGGGAGAATCTGTTCCATGACTCTTTCTACTTTCTGGCAGCTGTCCACGTTCCTTGGTTTGTAGCTGCATCACTCCAATTTCTGCCTCTGTCTCTAATAGCCTTCTTCCTTGTTTCTCTTCTTTGTGTGTCCTCTCATCTTCCCATAAGAACAGTAATCATTGAATCTAGGGTCCACTCTAATTCAGTGTGACCTCATTTTATCTTGATTACATCTGCAAAGATCCTATTTCTAAATAAGGCCACATTCACAGCTGGAGGGGTTGTGGGTTAGGACCTGAATCTATCTCTCTAGGGAACACAGTTTAACCAGCTACAGTGACTAATGCATTAAGTTCAAATAGAAACTAATGATCTCTCCTACCTCCCCATACTCTACAGCTTTCCTAACCACAACATTTATCAAGTTGTGTTACTTAACTTACTGGTTTCTTTTGGCCTGTATTTTGGTGTAAGTTTTCTGCTTGGCTCTACCTTGTTTATCCAAGATGATTTCTTATTGTAAGAAATTGCTCTCCTTAACCTTGAGTCTTACTCTTCTCTCTTTGTGGGGTTACCCTTGCATGGAAGGCTTTTTTCTTCGTCTAAGTAAATCCTTTCATTCCTAAAGGCAGAGATTATGCTTTATACTTTCTTTTCTTTCCAGTAGGACCTAGCCCAGTGCAAGTACATTTATTTTGATTAACTTTCTGATAAAATAAAGGGTATAGACAATAGATTGGAAAGAAAATGAAATAATGGTTTTATGTGCTTGAATTCAAGAATTTAAGTTGCTTGAGAATCGGTCCATCTTGATAGCTTAAATTATTTAGGTAGACTGTTGTTTTCTCTTTGACTTAAAACTTCTACCTGGAGTACCAACATTGTATTTTAGTCTTGTTCTGGTGCCATAACTTATTTTGGTTCAAAAATAACGTAAGCAGATGCTCCTGGCATATCAATTACTCTGTGAGATGTTTTTGTTATTTATTGTTAATACTGAGTTCAGGGTCTGGAAGATAATGTCTTATTGGTGGTGTAATATCTGAACATGTAAATAAAACCAGCTTTGTACTTTGTTTTGTCTTTTTTATCATCATCATTGTTATATAGCTGGAAAAGATTTAAGAGGTTTTCTAATCTAGTCTTCTACCTCTTCAAAAGGGAGAAAAGGCTTACAGCAACACTGACTGCTTTCTCCCCATTGGGTTTTGTCTTATTCCACTAAATTCCACAATTGTAAATTTGATGGGACATACTCTAGGGTATCAAGTATAGTCTTTGCCCCTAAGAAGGTCCAGTCAAGCCCAACTCATCCATGGTCTGGTGGACCTCAGTTCCAATTCAGGTTTCTTACCATTAACAAGCCTTGAGCCATTAAGTGGGTGGGAGTAGATTTATGTTTCTGGTTTTTCATGAACAAAAGGGCAAGAGTCAGTAGTTTCTTTTGTCTGGGTGATAGTGAACATGTGTAGGTGTGGTGTTTGTAGGTGGAATGTGTAAATGTTTGCTAAGCAAATTGGTGCCTGCCACACAGTAAATGCTCTAAATGTGTTTGAAAATAAAATGAAAAGTATAGTTTGCAGTCAAAATGAGAGTATATGATTCCATACTGCTCAGTTCAAAAGAGCTCTTTGCTTAGCATCTCCACAGGCTCTCAAGAGGTTGGGCCTGAGGCTCATCTCCTTAGTGTCCCATTCACTCCCATTGTATGCTTCTTGTCTTTGCTCAATTAACTCTTATTAACTGTAACTTTATGTAAATGGAAAATGGCCTCCCAGAGGAGCCCCTTCAGTTTTCAGTGCAGTCTCTTTCTCTCTTTTTCTTTTAATCCTTACCCGATGATATTTTTCCATTTATCTTCAGATAGAGTGGGAGGGAGGAGGAGAGAGAGACAGAAAGAGAAAGAGAGGAACAACGATGTGAGAGAGACATATCGATTGGTTGCCTCCCAAAAGACCCTGACCGGGGCTGGGGACAAACCGCAACCGAGGTACATGCCCTAGACCGGAATTGAACCTGCAACTCTTTGGTCCGCAGGCCAATACTCTAACTGCTGAGCCAAACTGGCCAGGACAGTGCAGTCTCTTTTATAAAGACCTCCATCTGGGAGTTGCAGAGACCCTGAACCTTGCAAAGCCAGATTGGCATTGTGCTACCAGGAGTAGAGATTAAAAATCAGATTGAGCGTCAGCCCATGGACTAAGAGGTCCTGTTCAGTTGCTGTTTGGGGCACATGCCCCAGATGTGGGCTCGATCCTCAGTGGCGGGGGGCGGGGGGCGTGTAGGAGGCAGCCCATCGATGTCTCTCTCTCACGTTGATATTTCTATCTCTCTCCCAAAAACCAATAAAAACATATTTATAAATAAAAATCAGAGAAGGTAAGGGTCTTGTTTGGAGTTCCAGTTCCTAACTAATCCAGAAGAAGTGACTTGATTACAAGTCATTACTTGCCTCATTGAAAGTTAATGAGTCAGACCGAGAAAGACAAATACCATATGATTTCACTTGTATGCAGAATCTAAAAAGCAAAATATATGAACAAACTAAACAGAAACAAACTCATAGATACAGAAATCATTTTGATGGTTGCCAGGTGGGAGGGGGATGGAGGGAAGGGTAAAACAAGGGGAAGGGATTAAGATGTATAAATTGCAGTTATAAAAACAGTCACAGAGATGTAAAGTACAGCAAAGGGAATATAGTCAATAAGATTGTAATAACTGTGTATGGTGTTAGGTGGGTACTAGAATTACCCAGGTGATCACTTTGCAAATTATATAAATGTCTAATCACTATGTTATCCACCTGACACATAATATTGTATGTCAACTGTAACTGAAAAATTCAAAAAATTATTTAAAATAGTTAATGAGTTGGAAACTTACAGAGTGGACAAGTTTCTGGCAACTGAAATCTTGGTCAAAGAATTGTGGTCTGAAGGGTTGAGATTCCTGATGGTAGAGCTCAGAGAGAAGGATGATATACAGTACATGCTCCTTTGGAAGAGGATTTAGGATTCTTGATGAAAAACCTCAGGTCTTTTCTATTGAAAATCATGGAGCCAGGCTTACTGATAAATAGTTGATGTGGTTTGTCAGGGTGAGATTTTCCTCTATAAGGTAGATTCTCAGGAAACTAAAAGCTTTAGATGAACAAAAACAGAAAGAAAGGAGACAGACTTTTTTTTTTGAAATTAACTATAATGCTGCATAAGTTCTGCCTGGGATTGCAGAGTTCTCCAGAACCTCTGCTCTGCTGCTTTTTACCTGTTGAAGAAATGATTCATTTGCACAGTATACAGTATAGTGATGCTGCTTCCTCATTCAGCAGCAGCATACCAGCAAAGGTGGATTGAGGGCCATTCACCCCTTTGTGTTTGTCTGGAATATGTATTGCTCCATTCATGCCCAGGTCTTCTCCATCTTCCTTAGGAGCAAGGGCCTACATATTCATCATACTAGTTTGGATTCTAATTCCTAAACTCTGTTACTTTTAGCCAAATGAAGAAAACCCAGGCCCTTTTCTAGTGTGAGGACCCCTCCCAGCTGCTTTGGAATGACCAGTGTGTCTCCAAATATGGATTTTGGATTACCTATATCACAGTCATCTTCTGGTACTTATTTAAAAAATTCATTCCTCTACTTACCTGGCAGGGGAGATACCATGATCACAAGATGGTTTTCCCAGAGCAAAGCTTATCCATTGCACTCCGAATGTGCTGACCTCTGTGATTTCCCCAAATGTGGAAAACTTGGCCACATAATTTGTGGTAATGAGGGACAGACTGTGTATACAGTTTCCCCTAAAAAATAAATAAAATAGTCCTGGCTGGTTTGGCTCAGTAGTTAGAGCGTTAGGCCGATGACTAAAGCATTGTAGGTTCGATTCTGGTCAAGGGCACGTGCCTAGGTTGGAGTTCGGTCCCAGCCCTGGTCAGGGTCATGTGAGAGGCAACCAATCAGTGTGTCCCTCTCACATCAATGTTTCTCTCTCTCTCCCTCCCACTCTATCTGAAGATGAATGGAAACGTATCCTCAGGTGAGGATTAAAAAATAAAATACCCATTCCTATGATGCATCCCAAACCTACTGAACCAGAGTCTCTGGAATGGGACTTAGGAATTCACATTTTTAATGTTTCTTAGGTGGTTCATAAGCACTATAAGTTTGGGAACCACTGGTTTAGACTCATAGACTTTAAGGAAATAACCTCAGAGTTCCCTTGGGGTCCAATCTGGATCCCATTGGAACAAATGCAGTTTGCCTGACCCTGGAGATCAGCCTGAGAAAGGTTTGGAGCTTCATTTTCCCCTTAAATTAGGGTATCCACACAATCTGGTAGGCCAGTAAGGACAAAGCCCCTTCCCAAGGGTCATCATTATGTGACAGGCTGACGCTAACAGACCCAGGTCAATTAGCTATTACAGCTGAAGGTGAACCTAATTATTTTGTCTTCAGTTGCTAAAGTTTAGTTCTGCTAACATTGTTATGAAACCCGGACATTTGCATGATAGTTGACAAAAAGGAGATCAGTCTGAGTAAACACTTTTTATGCCCTTGGCTCATGCTTTGTTACGCTGGTATCTGTGTGCCAGATGTGACTTCTCTCAACTCGGTAACATTAAAAAAAATCATTCAGCCTCCACACTTAGATACCTAAGTTTCTGACCACTTGGCCCACTGTTGAGGGGAAGACAACACAGACATTTAAATTTAGTCCAATGCTGTCATTTTATAGATGTGAAAATCAAGATTGGGGGCCGGGGGATGAAGTGACTAATTTGGGCATTTCCAGACAATAACAAGACTCCAGGTCTTGCCACTTGTACGTGAGTGTTCTTTCCTTCTTGGGCTGCCTCCCAGTAGGAGGGAAGTATCCCTGTAAAATTCTCTGCGGAGTCTTAACAGTTCTTGGCAGACAAAATATAATATTCCCATTTCTCTTTCTTGAATATGTTTTTATTTATTTTAGATAGAGAGGAAGGGAGAGAGAGAGAGAGAGAGAGAGAGAAACATCAGTGTGAGAGAGAAACATTGATTGGCTGTCTCCTGCATGCCCCCTACTGGGGATTGAGCCCACATCCCGGGCATGTGCCCTGACTGAGAACTGAGCTGGGACCTCTTAGTTTATGGGAAGGTGCTCAATCCACTGAGCCACACCTGCTGGGCTAATATTCACATTTCTAAAGACACATATTATTCAGTGTTTCCCTGTGTGAAAGCAGGGAAATTGCTTTGAATTTTCTATTCATCCTGAGATTTGGAGAAATTGTGTCTGTCCTGTACCTTGTTCTGCATCACTGAGCACTTACCTTTTAGAGGAGAGTGACAGTCCTTGGCTGGAATAACCTAGGCCAGGGGACTGCCCTCAGTGAGGGCAGGTGTAGTGTAATTAGCAAGTCCTGTGATAATTTTGCCACAGTTAATTAATTGGAAGACTTGTCTCTAATTTACTTTGGAGACTTACAGGTCATATAGTTAATGAGCTGGAGTAGCTGCCAAAGAGCAAGGCGGTAGGGGATAGGTTTAGTTTTATTTTGAATTCCCATTCTTCCTCCTTACCCCTCTTTACCAGGTTTGCTTTGGGAGACCATCCTGGCTTATAAAAGAGCACACATACATTTCTTACTGTGAAATCAGCAGGAAAACATCCAACAAACAGAACAGTGCTAGGGGGTTTGTTGATTTCCTCAGAGGATGCTGATGAGCCAGTGACGCTTGAGTCTTTTTTTCAAATGCTCTTTGTGACTGTTACTAAAGTGATGTTTTCTAGAGTGGTCAGTCCTTTGGGGGAGCAGGGTAATGTAGGTCAGTCATGAAAAGTAGGTTTGATAGTAAAGAATCAGGAACTTAGAGCTATTTCTTAGAGGGAAGAAAAACCCTGTAGTTCTTAGGCAGTTTGAGGGTTGAGTCAGTGACTTCTGACTTGTGAAGTTTGAGCAAAAACCTGAAATGTCCTTGATCATGTGGCAGCCACTGCTTCTTCCCTACTTAGTTTACATCTTATTATTATTCCTTACTTAAAGGACCCTGATTTTGTTTAAGGCAACAATGTCCCCAAATAAAAATACCTTGAGACTCCTTTACAGCTAGGGGTACCCATGTACCCAGGTCTCACCAGCGAGTTGTGGAAGTTTATTGGGTGGAGCTCTGGGAACGCCATTTTTTTCTGGTGAAAAGGGACAGACAAAGCTGTGGTTTGCCTTTGCCCTTGGCCTTAGCCCTTTCCACTCAGCAAATGAGTGTCATGCCTAGGGATGGAATGGCCCTCTTATAATTCTGAGGACATAAGCCCTGTGCTCAGATTAGCAGAGTAGGAAGCTAGACGTCTGGGTCCTTGCTTTGATGACTTCTTTCAACAGCTATCCCAGTCCTCTTTTGGACCTCAGCTTACATGAAAAAAACAAACAAACAAAGAACAACCTTTCTTGGTTTAAGCTGTTTCAGTTGGATCTTTGTTATATAAAGTCAAATGAAACTTTGGGAAACTGCTGGTTAGGTGGTCCTATGTCAGAGAAATGTGTGGATGGTCTTTCTCCTTTGCTAATGGGAGTGGGGTTCTTGGGGTGCCACTGGAATAAGCATTTCTGGAGGCCCTCACAAGAGGATGAGATGTGGTAGAAAGCTATATTTTCATGGAATTACATCCTTGGGTTTCTAAAGTCCCATTTCCCTTAATCCAGTCCTGGAAGGTGTGCAACTGGGGATTCGGTGGAGCTAGAATCAAAGTCAGAATTCAAAGTTTCCTTTCCATGGTGGAATCAGTTCCCGTTTAAATTTAGGCTAGTTGCGGTCCAGTCATCCACTGTGTATGGTATCCACATGGCTATGGGCCATGTGGGAGAATACAGGCGTGTGAGAGTCCCGCAGGCCAGGAAGCAAGAGTGCAAGAGAGAAAGAGCAAATTCCTTTGTTTAGGAGCTTAAGTATCTCAAATCTTCCCATGCTTGCAGTAGCCATGCCTACTCTGTCCGGTGACCTGTTTCCTGGTGTGACTGACACAGATAAGTACCTTCCTTATTTCACCCAGAGATTACTGGGCATTCGTCTGTTCTTTCTCTGTCCAGTCCCTTCTCCCAGTGATCTGCTGGTAATGGACTTGGGGAGTGTTAAATTGCAACTTGCTGGCAAAGCTGCACAAATGAATGCCTATAATATTTGGCCTTCCCTTTGCTCCTTTCCAGTTATTTATAATTAGGTTAAATTACAATGGTATCACTTGTACATGGTATTTGTAATTGAAGTCTAAGCCAATGGACAGTTCAACTTATTACAGTATTGGAAATGTTAGATACAGAGATTTGCTTTGTTGGAAGTTAGAGGACACCAAGATGTAGAAACTTGGCAAATGTTCTACCTAAGGCAGTGCCCAGCAGCACTTAGGTGTTTTCCACACTGTTTGCAGCCCTGTGCCGAATAAGGATTACTTCACAAGCCAGAGCAGTCAGGAGCCAACCCCGTTAGTGTGACTCCCTTGTCTTAGGGGCTGGACCCTGAGGGTATGACTGGGTGACTGCTTCCAATAGAGCAGTGGTTCTCAACCTTCCTAATGCCGTGATCGTTTAATACACTTCCTCTTACTGTGACCCCCAACCATAAAATTATTTTTGTTGCTACTTTATAACTGTATTTTTGCTACTGTTATGTCTTAGGCGACCCCTGTGAAAGGGTCGTTCGACCCCCAGGTTGAGAACCGCTGCAATAGAGGGAGGTGTTGGACCTCTTTTATTTTTTCCTGGGGTAGACATGGTGGTCCAGGATGATGTTCAAGCACAAATCTATTTCCTTGCTTGAGGCAGTTCTGATGAGCGATTTTCTCTAACAGATCCATTAAACAGCCGATAACTGTATTTCTGAACAGAGATTTATTACAGATGTTTTGCAGCCATTACATGTTCTCTTTTCTTGTCACTATGTGTGCAATATATCTTCTGTCTTACTGTTACTTACATAAGAAAAACAGATAAAAATTATAGATGGCTAAATCCATTTGTTTATAACAAGAAAGGAAAATAATGACATGGCAAATGTTTCAAGACCTTTAGGCCTATGAAAAGGAAAATTGCCCAAGGACCCCGTAGAAGATCATGCATAGTATTTACGTATATGACAATGTGATGTTTCTCAAACTTTTAGCAACTACAGACCATGTAGAGGGTGCTTTCTGTATGAGTGGACCATAATTTGAAGTAAATTTTTTTGAAAGGCCAAAAAACATTTTGATAATAACCATGCTTCCCAGCAGATTAGTAAATGTCTGTTAAGCTGGGGGAAAAAAGCAGCTTGAAAAATTAATAGTATATGTTTTTATATCAGTTAAAGATACTTGCAAATTTCTAAATAAAATATCTAATATTTAGCTAGATGATGGGTACCATCTTTATCCACACTGTTTGCAGCCTGTGCTGAATAAGGATTACTTCACAAGTCAGAGCAGCCAGGGAGCCACTTGGTTAGCATGACTCCCTTGTCTTAAGGGGATGGGCCCTGAGGGCATGACTGCTTTTTTCCCAGCATTTTATTTGTTATTACCCTGGTGGCTGGTTTTATGAGTGTTTTGGAAATAGAGTAATCTTTATTTGTTTTGTGTGAAGAATGCAACTTGGAGGGACGCTTTTGTAATTGTGGTCTATTTTCTGCCCTTAGTAACAAAATAAACCGAGTTCATACTAGAAAGCATTATTTAAAAAACAGAATATTTTCACTGATTTTTAGAGCGAAAGAAAGGGAGAAGGAGAGTGAGAGAGAAACACTGATGTGAGAGCAACACGTGGATCGGCTGCCTCCTGCATGCCCCCTACTAGGGA